GCGAATGAGCACCCACCGAGCTTCCGGTTAGTCCTTTTCGAGCTTTTCATGTTCCTTACCATCATTCCTTCATACTTGGTCGATTTTCCGGCGACCGGAGCTTCCTACTTTATCTATCTCTATTTACGAAATTTCGGCGACCATTTTCTCGGCATTTTCCAAGGTATGTCGGCCTACCTATCTTTGCATTTCCATTTGTGTCGAGTTTTGGTCACTACTCTTGCCGGAGTAGTCGTGGTGGGTGATTGGAGTTGGACTTGTGCATGATAGGTACGTCTTGCCGGGCGTGCCAATTTTTGTGTTGTTGTTGCCGGATTTTGGATTTTGTAGATTACCTCATACGGCTAGTGCCGGATATTGTTTCGTGCGTTGAACCTACGAGGAGTTGACCATGTCACTGTGGCGAGTCTAATGGAGTGACCCGAAGCCCGATTTTTGAGCTTTCAAGCTTATGTGCGTCTTCATCGAGTTTGTGATTTCACGGATATTATCACTCTGAGACGCATACATGTGGCCCTTGTTTATATTGGTTCGTGTGCTCAATGTCCAACCGTTCGGATGGTTTCGATTATTGCTCGAGGACCTTCGGCTCATTTGCTTTATTCCTACCAGACGAACACCATTGGACACACGGTGGTGCACCACCGTGTATAGTACGCATTTTCTTTTCTTATTTTCCTTTTCTCTTCGTCGTTTGTTGTGTGTCTTTGTATTTTCTTTCTTTTGTTTGCTCGTTTATTTTGTTCCTTCTTGCTTATCGCATGAGTTTTTGTGATTATGTGCTCGATCCTATGCTTTTTGGTCAAGCAATGAGGACATTGCTTTGTTTTAAGTGTGGGGGAGGGATTTCGTGATTATGCATATTTGTGCGATATTTCTTTCATTTTCGGTGCTTTATTTTCGTATCTTGGACCGGTTTTGTTTGTGTTTTTATGTGTTTGTGTCAATTCCCCCTCATGATGCTTGATGTGAGTTTAAGGGCTCAAAATGATTAGGTGGTGAGATAAGCAAGTTGATTGGCGTCATTGTTAACTTTCATGCTTTATGAACTTGATGATTTGGATGGTACCATTGAATTGGATGATAGTTTGTTAAATGTGGGACCCGCATGTGAATTCACGGAATTGTTTTGTCCCTTGTTGTTCTCAATTGATTGACTTGAGATATGCTTACCTTATGTTCGATTATCGTTGTAAACGTGTTATGCTATTCATTTATAGTGCATCTCGATCAACTATGTGTTATTACAATTATGATGTACGTTTGTGCCACTCCTTTCGAAAAAAAAAAGAATAAAATGTGAATTCGCGAGGAGGTACAAACTAGGCTCCTCTTATCCCGAGCCACCTCGTGGAATGGGATAATGAGCCCGGAAAACCGGTCTAGGGAACTCGAGGAGACCCCTCGAGGGTAAACCTAGATAAGCATTGTCTAGGAAACCTTGTTTGGAAAAGAAGCTTACAATAAAAAAAAAAAAGAAAAAAGAAAAAGCAAAGCAAATAAACAATAGAATGAGAGTTGGTTTATTGGTTCATGCTTATTGTATTTTACATGTTTAGTGGACCACATTTGGCTTTTTGCACGTGCATGTAGAAAAAGGTAGCTTAAATCGAGAAAATCATGTGTAGGATGACTTGGGACGGGTTTTTGTTTTGTATGAATTCATTTCGTGGGGAACATGTTTTCGAATTTGAATTTGATTCTATAGATTATCGGATGAAAAGGTTCGCATGTTTGTTAACCTTGGACCTCTCGATATTTCTTTTCGAACTACTTACTGTTTTGTGTGCTTGAGGACAAGCAAAAAGCTAAGTGTAGGGGAGTTGTTTACTGTGTTTTTGTGCTTATTTTCGTGTGTTTTATGTGCTTTAGTTTAGCCTTTTTAGGTTCGTTTTAGTGTCGACCGGTCCATTTTATAGTATTTAGTGTGTTTTCTATGTCTTTCTTTTTATTTTATATTTTGGCGTACTTTTTCGTGCTTTTTGGTGTATTCCCAGGTTTATTTCCGAGGAGGATGAGAAGAGTCGAACCGAGTCCCGAGAGACGAGATTTCCAAAGTATTCCGAGTCATCTTCGAGAAGTTTCGAGCCATTGAGCTATTTCCATTCCGAGCATTCGAGCCATGTCGATCAAAAGTCCCAAAGTTAGCCACACTCGCGAATTCGAGCCGCACAGCCCGCGCCTCGCGGAAGATCAGTGCCAGCGCCGACACACTCGCGAGCACGCAGGAGCTTCCGCGACATCGAGAGTAAGATTTTTCCGCGCCCGCACCCTCGGCCGATTCCGCGACGTCGAGAGTGTGCTTCCTTCCCGCACATCCGCGCACGCGAGCTATTCCGCGAGGTCAAGAGTGTCACCTACTTGCCGTCCACGCCCGCGAAATCCCCCGTGACCTCGAGAGTGACCCTTTTCCTCGCACCGACCTCGTGTTGCCCCGTGCCAAACGATACCCGCAACCAGCGGATTTTCCAGCGACCTCGGGAGTGTTTTATTAAATGTGCATGTTTTTAGTGTGTGTTTGAGGTGTAACTATAAATAGACATTGTGCTTTGTATTACTGGACATCACCCCTCATTTCCCAACTTTTAAGTTGGAAAATCCTCTCCATTTTCTCTCTTTTCTTTTTTGTGCTTTGGTTGGGAGGTCCATGTCTATATTTTTCTGGAGAAATTCCGGTAAGTTTACTTTTATCCAAGTTTCGATCTTTAATCACTATTTTTGTTCAAGCATGCGATAGGAGAGTAAGTACCTTACTTAGGTCCTTCTACTTCGAGTTTGTGTTGTCGAATTGTGTGTATGCTTGTTTCTAGGGTTTTGCTTTATTTTTATTGCTTGCTTACGTGTCTTAGGAATCTATATGTGCTTATCTTGTGTAGAGATCTCAACTTTGTTCAAAGCGTGATGATCTAGTGTAGAAAGCTCGTGTTAGATTACCTAGGATCACTATGATAGCTTGTTTTCTCTTGTTTTCTTTTATATTCTTGAGTTATGGAGATTCCGTGCAACCAATGCTTTGACCTTTCTTTCGATTCTTGCATTTTTCATTATTTGCTCTTAGATTCTTAGTTCAATTTCGTGCAATCAAATCTCATCAAGCGAGTAGAATGTGTAGGAACTTCTTTTTGGTTATGTAACTTTGACGACTAGGTAGTGAATGAAGCTCCGAACGGCCTTCCTTTGAGAACGACCCGAGTCGGGTAGCTCGGTTACCACATGCCCAAAAAAACTACAAACACAACCAAATACCAAATGATTAATATACATGATACTTTAGTTATAAAATAGAAGTGTATGTGCTGCTTTGTTTTTTCCACATTATATTGCATGCAGTAGACTAAAGCAAGTTACCAACTAAGATCTAATTTACCAACAAACACATTTGAAATATAGAGATGCTAGTGTTTATCATTATTTCCGAATGTTCATGGAGTTGATTTCAATCATGTACACACACTATTATGGATTTTTCATGATTCCAAAATTGCAGGACTAAATAGGTAATATGAGAGAACACTTCCTACAAGACAATTGAAAAGGACTAATTCAATGACAGATGCTGAACTTTGAAGCTTGAATTGTGGCTCGACTCCAAGGGCATTAAGTGGCCAAGCTGGGATTACAAATGCAACATCATAAAATTTATTGATAGGCTGTGGATTTCGGTTAATGCACATAAAAGAATTGATTTCATCTACATTATCTGGAGCATTATTATGTTCATTGATTAAGTTGGTTTAGGTAAATAGATGTTAAAAAGACCTTTAATCTTGACCACCTCCAAAGATTAATCCTTGACTCCAATATTCAATTTTTAACTAAGAAGATCATCATAGAATTGCATATACAAACAATGGAAAACGTTACAGACAGGAAAAAGGAAGGCATAATATTTTTTTTTTTTTTTAAAAAAAAAGTCCATGTAAACACATCTTTCTAAATCATTCATTGATTAATGACGAACAGTCTGTAGAAGGCAAATTAATGTGAAATCAACTGAAAACATGAAACAAAACATATATTTGTGAGCTGATATTAGATAACAAGTTTCAGTTAATAACTCGACTACTTTTCATCCTTAAGGTTCACTCCCCGAAAAAATAAATCCAATAATTTTATTTCCTCCATAGGTAGCAAAAAGGAGTCAAAAAGAATAAACAAAAAACAAACCATATCATAAGAAACTCTTTAGCAAAAAAACACATTGAATGATATTTCCTTTTTTATCTAAAGGTTACCAAGACATCTGAACTTGATCTTACAGCTTATTGAATATGCATCTGCGCCTCTCTCTCATTCTCCAGCTTCACAAAAATTCCCGCAATTGGTGAAATAAAACTCAAATTCGAAGTGCATTAGCATCAACCAAATACCTAATTTTGAAAAATCTCGAATTCAATAAAAAATTCAAAATTTTGAAAAAAATCTCCAAATTCCGAATTGAAGAAAAAATTCAAAATTGTTGAAAAAAATCCCCAAAATCTTACCTGTGGAAGACGGTTTATCAGATGTGGAATGGCGAGGAGGATGGTTTTTCGAGCCCGCCATGGAATTTTCCCAGAGAATTGACCGGCGATTTTCAGAGAGAGGGAGAGAGACGATCGGCGATAGAATTTTCAGAGAGAGAGACGAACGGTGAGAGATGGAACTTTCAGAGAGAGAGCGACGCTCGGCGACAAAAACTTGAAAGACAGAGTAGCGGTCGGCGATGAACTTTGAGAGAGAAAAACGGCGAGAACGAAGAGAGAGAGAGGAGAGCTTCAATTCATTTTTCTATGAAAATAAGGCAAAATAAAAGAATAATAATAAGAGTAGTATATATATAGGGAGTGATTTGGAAAGAAAAATTAGTTTTATGGAGTGCAAAGGAAGTTTAAATGTGATGAGAACTGACAAGAAAGTTGAAAAAGAGAGTAGAAATTTAACTTGAATTTACCATTTTTTTTTTTAACAAGCCTGCCTAAACATACATAAATAAAATATATTCTTCTCCCTTGATAGAATTTTCCATCATCTCTCCCTCAAATGTTTTCTATTCTCCTCCCAATTTCATTGGCTTACACTCATGCACTGATGCACACATAACAAATCACTCAATACTTGTATGTATATATGGAGGATTCTATATCGATGTGCTTACAAACAATCATAACCTGAAAAGTTAGGTTTTTTCTTTTGTGTTTCCCATACGCGCACTGCAATCGAAGAGCATTCAGCTTCAGAGGTACGTTTCCGTTATTAAATCAATTTTTTATTAGTTCCGATACTCATCGTGGTTAATTATGTCCATGCTATCCCCATTTCGTCGCTTTTATAACCATGTTTCTTGGATCTTAATTTTTATCTGTTGCCCGGGGGCGGTGATATTTTCTGAAAACGGTGACATCGATCATTTCCCAGGTGATATTATGCATCCACCTATTGATTTTATGCGATTGATGGATCACAATTCCACGATATATTTCGATCACAACCTCGGTTGGTCTCTGGGCCCAGGGATTGATTTATTGTCCGAGTGTAGAAATTGGATTCTTGTGTGATTTGTTTAGTGCTGCAGCCGATAATTTGGGTATTAGGCATTTCTAGCTTATCCTTGGCAGTTTTAGGTTCTTTCTGAGAGGCGCCCTGCGAGGTATGGCTAATGTTCGTCAGCAGTTGCAGCAGAAACCCGAGAGCACAGAGAATGACACCCGTTCAGAGTTCGAGAGGGGTTTGGAGGAACTCATGCTTGGCGATTATGACGAGTACATGTCGTTTGCCTCCTGCAGCTTGCAGAGAATGGCCACCACTGAGGACGAGGAAGGTGAGGACGGTGATGACCTGGCGGAGTCCTCTGTTGCCCGTAGACGCCACTCGAGGATCCTCAGCAGGTGGGCCGCTCGCCAGGCTCAGGAGATGATAACCACTATGGAGAGGAGGAACCGCGAGTCTGAACTGATGGCCCTTGCTGGCCTCCACACAGTCTCCACGCTCGACTCCTCCTTCCTGAGGGAGTCTCAGTCCCCGATCTCGAGGCGCCAGAGGGATGTCGAGAGGCTCAACACTCGCGCCTCGTCTATCCTTCAGATGTGGCGGGAGCTGGAGGATGAGCACACCAGGCAACAGAGGATCACAGATTCTAACACGAATACAGCTGTTGACATGTCCGAGGAGAGAGGAAGTGAGAACCAGGGCCCACAGGAGGGCTCCAGCCGTGAGCAGTCTCCTGATCCTGGGGAAGTTGAGAGGGAGAGGGTGAGGCAGATTGTTAGTGGGTGGATGGAGAGTGGAATTAGTGGCACAGAAAATAATGTGATGCAGAGGAGTGATAGTCCTAGAGCTGAATGGCTTGGGGAGACTGAGCGTGAGAGAGTGAGGATCGTGAGGGAGTGGATGCAGATGAATAGCCAGCAAAGAGGATCCCATGGTGGTGGTGGCGAAGTGCAAGTTGATGGTGCTCGTGAAGGGTCTGCGGCAGAACAAGATGATGGCCAGCCAGAGCATGCGCGCCGGGACATGTTGAGGTTAAGGGGACGACAAGCGCTAATTGATTTGCTCCTGAGAATTGAAAGGGAGAGGCAACGGGAACTTGAGGGCCTTATGGAACACAGAGCTGTTTCTGATTTCGCACACCGCAATCGTATTCAGGTAATCTTTGTAGAAAATGTGCATCTTTCATTGTTTTGAAATGCATTACCATTCCTCAAAACGTGTGAAGTTTCTTAGTGGTGATTGATCTTTTATCAAGTTTGCGATTAGTTTGATGAATAATGCTATATGACGTAATGGTTTTGACACAATTGTTGACATGATGATGTATATGTATTTTGAGCTTTGGATGTTAAAGGTGATGTGATGTGTAAAATCATAAGATCGTGCCACGTATGTGTTATGTCAAACTTTATGTCAACCATTATGTAATGGCCCCAATTTGATATAATACGTACACTATTATTGGTGAGTTCAATTTGAGAGTTAGAATTACCAAATAGCTTGAGAAGCAATGCATTGCATGGGAAGATACTCATGGTTTTAGTTGACTAGTTGTGCCTTAGGTTTCTTTTTGTCTATACGATGCTTACTGTATTTTCTTTCTGTACATAGGTAATCTTTTAATCAGGCAAAGGTTCAACTGCTCGTCTGCACCTGTGTAGATTTGTTGCCTAGTTTTTTTTGGAAAAAGTTACTTGTGGAGTTTTTGTTTTTGTTTTTTTTGTTTTTTATTTATTTTTTTTCCCCCTCATGATTCTTAGATCTAAAGTGGATATTTTTTGCTGGCTTTCATATTGACTGTATGATTTGACATTGGTTCTGGGCGTGTTGTTGATTCAATAATGTTTCTAATCTGTCTATGTTAGAATGTCATCTTAGATTGACACTTTCTTTTTTCAGTATTAACTTCATATTATCTATAGTATTTTGTTGCTTTTATTTTTAATGCTTCGTCTGTGTTTATTTTTATTTATGTGGAAGCTTTATTATTCGTTTTGCCACCCCCAAAAAAAGTTGTGTTCTAATACAGTCATTTGTATCTGTCGTTTAAACTTTCAGTCCCTACTCAGAGGCCGTTTCTTAAGAAATGAGAGTCCTACTGAGGAAGACAGACCACCTTCGGTGGCGGCTAGTGAGTTAAACCAGCTAAGACAGCGACACACAGTCTCAGGCCTGAGGTATGCCCATTGTTCAAGACCAAGTCATGACTCATGCAGTGATATGGCCCTGTTTGATATACAGATTTAACCTATGATACTTCCCTTTCCTTATTCATTGCCGTTTCTTGTTGCAGTTTGAGCCTTCTTTACTCTAACTGACTAATTCTAGCAATAGGATGAAATGACGTTGAATATCATGTGACACACTGTTCCATGTCTTTTAAAGAATAAGAATAATCTAATCATGCTTGTTCATGATGTTCATCGGATCATTCATTCAGAGAAGTTGGAGCTAAGATTGTGAACTGAAAAGCACTGTTTAATACAAATGCATGGATTCGGATGTGTTTTCTAATAGCAATGCTGAATTATTGTTATTTTGTTAATAACGTAAGACCCCACCCCAATAATGGAGCTTATGGTTGGGTCCACGAGAACACTGGGCCAAGTGGCATTGTCTGTTTCACTCAAACTTTTGAATGTCAGTCCTGACATTTTCATAGGTGCTTGAAACTTAAATAAAAGAACTTTTTTATAGTTTATGCCCTGCCCTGTTCTGGTTTCACAACGAGCATTCCTAGATTGTTATGCCTCTTTTAACATCACTACGCCATGGATGTATTAATAACCAGAATAGTTCATTCCCATTTTAGAAATGACCACGTAATTTTCAGCTAAACTGGTATACATCACATTGTGGGAAAAGTCAGATTTATTTCTGCTGCTTAATTGCTTTTGTAAATAATGCGGCTTCTACTTAACAATCTGGAAAGTCGAACTATTACACATTCTGCTTTATATAGAAGATTCCTGCATGACTTGTTGAGATACTCTATTGTAGTGATGGAGTCAAATAAAAAAATCTTATGATGAGTTTTGGTTGGTTATGAAATACACGATAAGTTTTTAGTATGCAACTGGATATATAGGTTGCCTATCTGTTTCCTCTCTCTCTCTCTCCCCTTCTCTCCCTCTGTCCCTCCCTCCCTCTTCCTCTTCCTCTAGTAGTTTTTTTATTTTTCTTATTTTCATTTTTTTTTATTATTATTATTTTTTAAATAATGTCCTGGGACTACTATTGTTTGACATCTTAATACAATTTAGTATATTTAGGTTTGTATGGGTCAGTATTATACTGATCATCAAGACACTTAATTGTCACTCCATTTTGCATCATTAACCAGCCAATTTTTGTCTTAGTATGGAGTTCTAGATGATACCTTTTGGAAATGTGTTCTGCAATAATCATGCCACTGAAGACGTGGTTGATATCGCAATACTGCTTTAGCTGTACAGAAATAACAAGTCCATTACGGATGCCCTGAAAAGAAAATAAAAGGATCGTAATACACCATTGAGGTTCATTCTCAAATTTATCACCATGATCTTAACATTGTTGGATGATTTACTTTCTGTAGATATTTTCAATGAATATAAAAATATGGATCTGGTAATGTGTGTATGTTGACTATAGGTTTGGAAATGAAATTTTATTTAACGTTACATATATGCTTTTTTGGTGTGGGGGTTTTGTTGAAAAAATCCTTCATGTTTGGTGAAGTTCTTATTCATGTGTTAAAAAATGAAGCCGATTGAGTCTCATTCCGAAATATGCGATCTACAATTTTGTGGCCGGAATACTTTCACTAGATTTTTAATTTTTACATAAAAGTGCATGTCATTATTTGCTTGTATTCAATATCTTGGTGTGCAATTATAATGTATTTGGTTTGTTATTCTTTGTGCATTTATGCGAGTGGGTTGAAAATGAGTTTGGTAGAATGACTACAATGAACGAAATATAATTGGTTTGAAAATAGAAACACAAGGATGCTTCCTGTATTAATGAGCAAAAAGTTGCATAATTGGTATATTAAGTAGTAAAAAAAATGAAAAGATGCTTTGTGAAAATGAAACCAAATGGTCGTTGAATCTTGGACGAAGGGAGTTCGTGAGAAGGATTTTGAAGTTTGTAAATGAACGTTCTTGCCTACCCCAACTTGCTTGGGACTAAAAGGCTATGTTGTTGTTGTTGTAAATGAACGTTCTGTAGCACTTGTAATTTCTTCCTCTAAATTTATCCTATTGTAATATACAAATATATTACAAATAAATAAAATAAGAATTAAAAATAATTGCCTTTGTAGTTTGATGCGTGATTGTTTACTTTAATTCAGGGAAGGGTTCCGCTTTAGATTGGAAAACATTGTTCGTGGTCAAGTAAGCAGCCAACCCGAGACATCTTTGAATGGTGACAATAATGAATCTAGAAGAGATCAAAGGAACACAAACGTTTCAGACAGGCTGCAACATGCGCAACAACATATCAATGTTCAATTGCTGAATCGCATGGAGAATATTGATAGATCTGCTCAAAGTACAGATCTAAATGTTGCCACTGATGCAGGAAACCAATGGCGGGAACAAGTTTCTGAAAACGAGAGAGTAACCTTACAACAATCAGGCGGTGTAGCCCAAAATAGGCCAGAAAATGCAATGTCCGACTGGCCCTCGGCAGTGGTAGCTGAAGATGGACGTCAACATCGTCTAGAAGAAGTCCATAGGGTTTGGAACGTTGATAGCTCAACTGAAGCTGGCAATACTTGGTCGGAAAGACCTTTAGACCCTCCAAGAACTAGGAGGTCTTTTCCTCTCAGGAGAGTCGCCAGGTTTCACCCGCCCGAAGATGATAATGTATACAGCATGGAACTCAGGGAGTTACTGAGCAGGTAACAGGTTACTGTCTCATTATTTTTTGTGTTTGATTTTCTTGTTTCTTAAGGGATCTTTGCAAAAAGTATTTTCATTTAACCTAATTCTCTTCACAAAAGGGAAAAAGAAGGGCAAATTCTGACTTGCAGATCCCTTAAGATAATTTGTTTTCTAGATACATCCTCAGTTGGGGTGCAATTCGGGAAATATATGAGCATATGTTTCATTGGGTATGATTAATTTGAAGAAATATAGTCCCTCCTCAAAAGAATTATTGTTTTAGCCGTTTCTGTTTTCTGTTCCATAACACTCCCTGTTTTAAGAGTTCAAGGAAATTTTGGCCTAAAATTTCCCAACTTACTACTAATTATTATTTCAAAACTGAATCTGTTAGTATCTCTAAGGTATTGGGTCTATGGCGACAACATAAATATATAATGGATCATTTGGTAAGATAGTTTATTTGTCAAATCTTCAAAGACAACTGTTCGAGAAGGACTATTGGATGCGCCCATTTTTGTTCTTTCTTTTTTAGTCTTTTCTGTTTTCTGTTCCATAGCAATCTCCGTTTTAGGAATTCAAGGATCTTTGGCCTAAATATTCCAACCCTACCATTAATTATTATTTCTAAACTGAATGTGTTAATATCTCCAAGATGAGTATTGGGACTACGAAGACAGCATAAACCTGACAATTGATCGTTCATTTTGTGAGATATCTTATTTCTGAAATCTTCAAAGATAACCGTCTGTGAAGAATTACTAGATGAGATGTACCCATTTTTTTTTTTTTTTTCAATGTTAGTAATTTGGCTATTTGTAAATGTCGTTTGCTTTTGTTCTCATTTAAATACTATGCTGTAGGAGGAGTGTTTCTAATTTACTTCGTAGTGGTTTCCGAGAGAGCCTGGATCAGTTAATTCAATCATACGTTGAAAGACGACGAACAACTTCTGCCGGTTGGAATCTCAACCAGAATTCGCCCCTCCCTTCATCACCTGAAAGAGATCAGGATACACAGAGTAATGAACAGATTGAGGATCAGCGGGACACTACTAGTAGGCCTTCACTAGTGTTACCCACTCCTCCAGTACCACCACCTCAGCCTCTTTGGCATCAGGATTTAAACAACTCTGGGTGGTCTCGTCACAGTGTGCATCGATCGGAACTTGTAAGTTAACTTATTCCTTACCGAGTCACAAGTGCTGCCCCACTTTGCTTGTATCATGGTTTTGATTTTTCTTGAATTATTTCTTTTTTTGTCTTCCCTTATGGAGTACCTTCAAAAACTACTAAAGGCATGGTTGTGTGATGGAATAAACTTTTATAGGAATGGAATGAGTTCAAGAATGGAATGACTATAGGAAATGAATGAAATAAGTTCTTACTATTGACCAGTATTCTAAAAGTCGCTAGGCGCTCGACTAGCGCCTAGCACCTAGAGCGCCTAGGCGGCGCCTAGTCGAGGCCTAGAAATCAATATTAAATACCTTATTTTTTATTTATTTTAACTACCTACAAAATAAAACTATCCCAACTTATAATAAATCGACACACCTAAGTCCAAATAATAATATTAATATATTTTAAAGAAAACATGAGAACAAAATCATGTAATTAGTATTTAAAAAAATTAAAACAAAAAAACTGAAAAATTACCGCCGAGCCCGCCTAGGGGTGCCTAGGTCCGCCTATGCCCGCCTAGGTGCCGCCTAGCCGCCGAGCCCGCCATGTCCGCCTAGGAGCGCTTAGGGCCGCCGAGGCGCCGCCTAGCCGTCTGACCGATTTTTTCTGCCGATTTGTGCAAATCGGAGGCGCACGGGCACCGCCTAGCGTTTAGGCGCCGCCTAGGCCGATTTTTAGAACAGAGCTATTGACATTTATGATTAGGGTTTAGGAATGGAACGGCTATAGGAAAGGAATGAAATAATTTCTTACTATTGACATTTATGATTAGTGCTGTAAATGAAGCGAATCAAAGCGAATACTCAATTTTTCGATTCGAATTTGTGAAAGTAATCGACTATTTTTATTTGTATTTGATTTGATTCGTATTCGATTCAGTTAATATAATCAAATATATTCGATTCAATTCGATATTCGCTTATTTGTATATATTTAAATATATTTATATATTTTTTAAATATATTGTTGAATATAATATATTTTTTAAATAAATTAAATATGCTTATTTAAATATAAATATATTTTTTGTCTTTCATGTTTATATTTAATATATTTACTAGTATAATTCCCGTTTATTACACGGGTGTTGAATTAAAAAGCTTTTATAAAAAATATTAAATTTTTTATTTTTGTAAAAACTAAAATAATTTAATTTTACATAAAACATTACTTTCGGTTTTAATTACATTGTCAATTTATATTTTCTTAACCATAATAATTAAACATCTGTATATTAAATGAAAATGTCAATCCGTGTTGAGTTTTTTAACTTATATCATATAAAAATATCGGTATTTATTTACTATTACATAAGTACAAAAATATATATTTTAAATAAATAGAAATAATATGGTGATATGTATATGCATAAGTGTAAAATATGTTTACTAAATATTAAGCAAAATAGATTAATTTTTTTTACTTAATAAGATGCCTAATACATCAAGTGTCGTATAAGTCGTTTTTCACAGTTTTTTAACTTTATATGTAATTTATAGAATTTATATAAATAATTATTTATTGTTATTACATTGACAACATACCAATTAAATTTGAAATAAATATCATTTTTAAAAGAATACATATCAATTTCTATTACTTTATAATATAATTTATAATTTTATTTGATATAATTTAATTTAGCTTGATAAATAAATTTAAATTTTATTTATAAGGATATATATTACTGTGTTGTAATATATATATATATATATAAACGGACTTCATAATATCAATTCAAATGCAACACACTAATTAAGATGTTTTTTCTTGACAATATTACCCTATTTTATGGATGTTATGGGAAATGATGGAGATGAGATATAAAGACACTGTGTATTAGATGGAGGGTTAAAAATGAAAAATATGAACAAAATATCTAAAACGACATTTATTTTGTCAATGATCAATTAAGCCAAAGTGACAAATAATAAAAATAAGAGGGAGTATATATTCTTATATATTTTAGTATGACACATGTTATTTGTGCGACTTATATGTGTTATATTATTCATATTATAACATATAACTACATTAAACATAAATATATAATTGATAAATAATTTTATTTTCTAATTAATTTTAATAAATAATTTTATTTTTATTATAAAGATAAATATAATTTATTTATTTTATATATACAATATGCATGTCAAATCGAAACTCATCAAAAGCTGATTAATTTGATATATTATATATGTAAAACCGATAAGAAATACAAAAGTTATCAACTTTAAAATATATTTGCAATTCAATAGTTATAATAGGAAATAATATTAAAATATAATTAATACAAATATTAATTTATATCCAAGCATAACTCCAAAACATGATTTTTTGCCAAATAAGATTACGAAGCAGGATAGTTTGTTACGTTTGCAATTCAATGGTTATAATAGGAAATAATATTAAAATACAATTAATACAAATATTAATGTATATCCAAGTCTAACTCCAAAGCATGATTTTTTGCCAAATAGGATTACGAAGCATGAGAGTTTGCCACATAGGCTCAGCGCATTCTGAAATTATATATAGAGGGGATATACATTGTATAAATAAAATCTTATATAAATTATATATTATATAAATAAATCTTATACAAATTATTATATTATATATAATATATTGAATTATTAATAACTAACCGAATATTTAATAATTTCAAATCGAATATGTGAATATTCGGATTCATATTCAAATAAATTTTGAATACGAAACACTATTCTTATTCGAATTTTTACGAATACGAATCACGATACCAAATTTGAATCACGAATGGAATCGAAAATGTTTGATTTGTATACAACCTTATTTATGATAAAGACCTGAGGTTTGAATGGAATAATATTATCATCTCATTATCATTATATTATAAACAATTTTAATTCAATATTTTTATTAGTTCTATTGTCTTATATATGTTAATATTATTTTTATAGCTTTAAAAAAGATGTAGTATAATTACAATACATATTTTTTTATTGTGATACTCACCAGATGTAATTTAATTTGTAAATATCGTATTTATATATATATATTTTTTAATATAAATATATCGTTGCTTAAATCTTATATAAGCATATATGTGAATGTATATAATAATAATAATAATAATAATAATAATAATAATAATAATAATATCTACTTTTGAAAAATGAACAAGTTTTTCACACTGCTGGATAAAAAGTTAACTTTTTCACCCCTGAAAGTGTGAAAGCATTATGCGATAATTACGCAACTATTGTGCTATTGACATTGTGCGAAAGTTCAAAATGTTAAGGCGTTCGCATCACCCTTCGCACTTTCTAACGTGAATATGTGACAATTATGCGACTGATATGTGATAGTTATGCAAACCATCCGAATAACCTTCGCATTTTCCGGGGTGAAAAAGTTAGATTGTTAGTGGGTGAAAAACTTAATGTAATTTTGAAGTCGGGGTGTAAAAGAAATTTGCCTTATGAATAAATATAGAATATATATGAAATGGATAAACAAAAAATTATAAACATTTTTTTAATTTTTTATCGATACATTTTTTTCTTTTTGCATAGGTTTTTATTTATATAAAATCTTTTACTTTTTACAAATAAGGAACTAAAATATAATGTTTCAATTATTTATTTTTAAAATATATAAAATATAATAATTTTAATCATGATTGTATTGTATTTTAGTTTTTTACTGCTCATTGTTAGTTAGTTGTTTTAATGTTTGAGAAAAAATATATATTTTCCCTAAACATGGGAATGGATAAACCCACTATCTAAGAAATGGTGAATCCCTTGTATATGAGATTTTTCAATTCTTTAGTGTGTACTTGTTTACAAAAATCCGCTCAAAATGAGTTTTTTCGATTAACCAAGGTTAATTTGAAAAAAGTCGGATGTCATTGTTGGTGGGATTCTAATTTTATGGTAAAATATTTAGAATAAAATAATTAAAGTTGACTTGATGTAAGAGTAGGAAGAAATGATGTGAAGTGATAGTTAAAATTATGTGAGTTGATGAATAGTGAATTAAAGTTGATGTGTAACAATGGGTGGTTTGTATTATTCAGTTATATTGATTATATTGAGGATAGTGAGGTTCAGTTAGATTTTGAGTATGAATGAATTATGTTGTAAACAAACATGCTCTTAGGAGTTGCTTGGATATAAGTTTTTTTTATTTTTTTTTGATTTTATTTTTTGGTTAACCAAAGTTAATTTTAAAAAAAAAATGGTTTGGTTTAGGTTTGGCTGGAATTTTGAGTTTGTATTAAAATAATATTTAAAATAAAATGATTAAAGTCGATTTGATGTTAAAGTATTAGAGAGGTGATTGGAAGTGATGTGTGGTTAACATTATGTGAGTGGTGAATAGTGAATTAAAGTTGATGTGATGTGTAAGGATAATTGATTTATATTAGTTAACTAGATAATATTGAGGAGGGTTGAGTTGAGTTAAATTTGAGTTGTGATTGGATTTGTTTGAGAAAATCTTATATCCAAGCATGCACTTAAAGAGTGATCATTTCTAATTCTTAAATACAAGCCGACTCTTATTGTTACATCAAAAGACAATAAAAGCTTTCGGCTCAGCGTATGCCCAAAAACCTTATGACTTGTATCTGTTGTACACGTAGGATATAGGAGAAAACCCTATAAGTTATACCAATCATGGGATTGAGAATAAATAAAAGCAGGACCATGTCACCTATCATTCCATCATACCAATCATGCCATTACAATTTAGGGTATTTACTGAAAGACGCGGTCATGTTTAAAGGTGCAGAAAACGTGCCATGTTTATTTCTCTTGTTGTATGCCAAAAAGAATATCAGAGTAATTATAATTTTGGAAATTTCTGAGACCTTTTTGTTAGTACTTCAAAGATCATGGGTAGTTTCTGGAGTTATCCCTTTCTTATAGGCTCTGCGTGTTGTATTAGTTCTTCTATGTATACTGTATCAAAAAGTCCAGTTATTTGGGCTCGTTGGTATGACAGTCTTGGAAGTGTTGCACATTGTGCTAAATGATGTCGCTTCCGACTGTCATCACTGGTTCAGTCCCACACAACTTATATTTCTATTCTGCATGGCTAAGGATATCTAGAGTCGTATAGCTAAAATCTGTTTTTACCAAATTTCTTCCACAAGAGACAAAGTAAGTTGCTCGGTAATTAAATGCATAATTGGTGATATTGAGCAGGAGTGGGAGACGATGAATGATCTAAGGGCTGATGTTGTAAAGCTTCAGCAAGGTATGAGTCACATGCAAAGGATGTTAGAGGCTTGCATGGACATGCAGCTTGAACTCCAGCGCTCTGTTAGACAGGAAGTTTCAGCTGCTCTTAATAGATCATCTGATGGAGAAGGTGTGTCCCCTTCTCTGTTGGTAGTAGTTATCTCTGACTTTCGTGAATACAAGTAAAAAATACTGTCTACCCTGTGGGCTTTTTGGCTGTTTTAGGCTTCTGTTGTTTGTTTTTTGCAATACTGTGATCCAATCTTGCTCTTTGATTTAGATTATAATTATGCAGGCGTTATTGCTGGGACGTCTGAGGATGGGTCTAAATGGGGACATGTAAGAAAGGGAACATGTTGCGTTTGTTGTGATAATTCAATTGATGCCCTACTGTACAGGTAATGCGTTTGTTATGATTTTCATTTCATTTGTCATTCTTCTTTGTTTTGGAATAAAATTTATTTGAAAATTAATTGAAAGAATATGAATGAATATAGTGATTGATTACGGAATATTCAATAGGAATATATTGATGGAATTATGCCCTTGGTAGGAGTGATGTGACATTTGGTGGTGATTAAAAGTAAGAGAAGGGAATATTATATATATTAAAGTGTAATAGTGGTGTGGTACTGTGATGTATCATGGTAAAACTGTAACTTAGATGCGACACATTTCAAAATGAGTGTTGAGTCCTATAGCTCTTATGGTGGTGTTTGGTGTTTGGCAATTAAGTGGTAGATGATAATTGATAGAAAATGTATTAGCGGGATAACTTGTGATTGTCTTATTGAATAACTAAAACATAAAAAATGGTTATTGATTGCTTCAAAATTAGGAAATGGATTACTTCAAATAATAAAAAAAAAAACATACATTTTTTCTGAGATGTTAATTTGCAATGCTAATTTACTTGTGCGAGTAGCTAAAGTTAACTAGTAATTATAAAAATTTACTTCTAAACAACTTTTGTATATGGTGGAAAAATTGAAACTGCAAATGTGATTTAAAAACTGTTATTTCAATCAACATTGCCACTCTTCCCTAATATCTTAGCGTTTATAAAATTCAGCATCTTGAACCTCAAAAGCTATTTCAAACTCATGCTTATCGTATAACACGATTAGAAGATTTGATTGGTGAATCTTCTAAATTGGCTTCTAAATTTAATAGATGCCCAAACCTCCAACTACCAAACACTCTTTGAAAAAAAAAATGAATAAATAATTAAACCCGAGGGGAAAAAGTGATGAAACAATGTGTGCTATTATTGTATTTTGTGGCGTTTTGCTGACATCATTCTCTCTCTCTCTCTCTCTCTCTCTCTCTCTCTCCAGATGCGGGCACATGTGCACATGCTCTAAATGTGCGAATGAGCTGGTTCGTGGTGGTGGAAAGTGTCCTTTGTGTCGAGCACCCATTGTTGAGGTGATTAGAGCATATTCCATACTCTAAAAAGAGAATAAAATGCAATAAGCTGTTAGAAGATTGGTTTGGTTATATGGTGGAAAAGGATGGTCTCCCTCGCTTAGGATCGGTAGTGTTAAGTCCATTCTTGTATATGTTGAATGTTGCAAATTGGACAACATATAACACTTATTGTTTCCTCATACATTCGTAAATAATATATATCGACTTTTCTTGGGGAGGTATATCAAGGCCATCCTTCATGTCTGTCGGATGTTGATTTTGCATTTCAACAAGTCTTGTTTTCGACTGTTTCTTCAATTGAAATTACTGTTGTAAAAACTAAAAACCTTGGTCAGGTTTAGTTATTTCGGCAAAAAATTGGGCTAAGCACTGTGAGTGCCCTGGTAAATGGGCAGACAAAAATAAGATTTTCATGGCTGCATAAGGAGGCTGAAACATGGTTTAGGATACATGGTTAAGGGAAAATTGAAGCTTCGGTCAAAGAATAGAAAATGGAAAAAGTGAAGTAATTTTATAACTGTAGCTTGGGTTGAAGTATACGTGGCTAAGTATTGCAACTTGCATAACCACTTCCAGTAGGCGTGTCCAAATGTCGAGCCGGTTCATGACCATGTCCGGCCTGGCAGGCCTCTAATGCTGGGCCCAAAACTGGCCCAGCTATATCTATGGGCCGGTTCATTGAACCGGTCCATCGACCGACGGTTTTTGCCCGATTTTGAGCCAGTTCCCTTNTTAAGGAATTTTACTTGAAAAAAAAAGAAACAAAAGAGCTTAGTGTTAAAGCCGGGCGAAAACGAAACGGCCCGTGTTTGGCAGAGCGATCCGAATGGGACAATTCTCCCGAATATCGGGCATATGCTTTTCAAACTCATGATTCATTTTCAAAATGGTGATACAATTGTTATATCCGTTTCATCTACTAATTATTCGTTTTCAATTATGAACAACTCCAGCAACTGCGGCTGAGATGTAATGAGTAGTATTTTTAATTATTCGTTTTCAATTAAAAAGTCTCAAAATGTCACTTGAAATCTCAATTGAATACACCCTTATAATACATATCTTATTTTATATATTTAATTAATAACTAATAATTACTTAATTAAATAAAAATACACGAATAAAAAATTTTACATCTCCTAAAATCAACCTCAACTTTCCGCACCATTATTCCTTACGAATTTGCTTTCTTCCACATATCTGCCAAATTACTTTCTTTCATATCTCTAAAAAATAAATCTAAAATCAACTAAAACAACAAAGATTTGAAAAGATATAGAATTGATGCTTTGAAAAATGTTCTTATCTTTAATATAATTTTATTGGTAAAACTGTAATTACGTTTCATAATTCTAATATATAAAAGTTCTTTAAAGAAAATTGATCCAACAGAAATGGCATAATAAATTCTTATAAAAAAATTTAAATATTTTAAATTCTTTATTAATCTACAATTTTAACAAAATGATAAATCTTGGTAACAAGGACAACATAATTAAGGGTCAACTTGTATGTAATAAATAATTCAAAATATACATACTTAACTTTAATTAAGATAAGATACCAAAAATTTACTGAAATAATGCATACGTGAAATATATACATAAGCTAACAAATTAGAAAAATGAAACAATTCATTTAGCTATTTCATTATTTAAGAAAATTAAATCTTTATTTAAAATTAAAATAGAACTTGTACCTTAGTTTTGTTGGATTGAATTCCTATCTCACAAATATTGTCATTTGTTTGTTTGGTTGGTTGGTTGGTTTTTTT